CATTTGCAGAAAAATGAAACAAGATCTATACCTCACACCAAACACAAAAACTAACTCCAGATGGATCAAAGACTTAAATGTGAAACTTAAAACTATAAAGTTCCTCAAAGATAAAATAAGGGCAAACTTAGGAGTCCTAATTTGTGGCATAAATAGACTATTAAGCACAACCTTCTGCATAAACAGCAGAAGATAAACTAGATGAATGGGACATTCTAAAAATTAAATTTTATGTGCTTCAAAAGATTTCTCAAAAAGAGTTAAAAGACAACTTACACATTGGGAAAAAATATTCAGCAATGACATACCTGACAAGGGACTTACCTCGAAAATTTACAGAAAACTCTAAGACCTCAAGACTTCAACAACAAAAAGAAAATTTAATTAAAAAATGGGCACAAGACATGAATAGACACATCACCAAAGAAGATATTCAGGAACCCAACAAACACATGAAGAAATGTTCACAATCATTAGCCATTAAAGATACGAAAATCAAAACAATGACATATTATCTCACCCCAGCACTAACAGCAAAGTTCAACAAGACAGCACAGAAAAATATATGGAACAAACCACCATAACTACACAAAAAACACAGCAAAATGGTAGCAGTAAATTCATACCAATAATAACTCAAAAAAAAAAAAAAAAAAAACCACTGCCACCAAGTTGATCCTGACTCATAGCAACCCCCATATCATATCAATAAATACAGAAAAGCATTTCACAAAATCCAATGCCCATTCTTGATTGTTAAAAAAGTTCAGCAAAATAGGAATAGAAAGAAAATTCCTCAACATAATTAAGGGCATATACACAAAATCAATGGCCAATATTAATCTCAATGGAACAAAAGTGAATACATCCCCTTGCCGATGGGAATGAGATAAGGATGCACTTGATCACCACTTGTTTTCATTGTTGCATTGGAAGCCCTAGTCAGAGCAATAAGGCAAGAAAGGGGAATAACACGCATCCAAATTGGCAAAGAAATAGTAAAACTATCTCTACTTGCAGGTGATATGACCCTACATATAGAAAATCCTCGGAGCTCTGGTAGCATAGTGCCTAAGGAACTTGACTGCTAAGCAGAAGGCTGGTGGTTCAA